ACTAACTGTAGATACGTTGTTACTAGTTTTCAAAATACCATTTGAATATTTTATGCACTGCACAGTTCTTTACTGTAATGTTTCAAAGGGTTTATTAAATTGCATAAGTATCTTATGTACAATTTTTTTGACGTATCCGATCACAGTGGATCTATTTTCCGGGGGACGAAACTCCGTTTAGAAGAAAGTGCGTGAGATTCAGATGGTAATGTCAAAAGGAGTTTTCAACAGATACGCTGATTCTTTCGCGCTAGGCAGATTAAATCGTTATGCTCTAACTGTGGAAGGATAAGGGTGAAAGACACTGAAACTAGACCTGAATATCAATAGATGCAAATCTTTCCGGCATTATTTTCGCAAAAATTTAATTCATAAAACGAAATGTAATTGGCTGCAAATGCCTAAGCCTTCAAAGAGTCAGGTAGCTTGAGTCTAAAACAGCCAAAACAATATAATTTGGGCCCTATCTTTACATACTGTCGTGGAATGGACGCAATATTTGAACTACGAATTTGAAAGTTTGACGAAGGTGAGCCTATAAATGAAGAGGCACGACTTTCTCGCAAGACTTGCTAGCTAGGCTAACTACACCTCAGATATCAGCTGACTGAGCGTTTAGTTCGTGCGTTGGAAATCATACTGACCACAGCATAACACACGGCTTATTTACACACAACGTGAAAAACATGGTCAATCAGATGACTGACCATCAATTGATACTCAAAATTACCGACGTTTCGGTTCATGTCTGATGGGCCTTCGTCAACAGTGAGAGGTTGGCTGACTTTTGACTTTCGACAGAAGCCTTTTAGGCCGACAAATCATTACTTGCTAATCATCCTACTGATCAGACTGTTCGCATTGTGTATAAATGAACTGTTTCATAAACTAGCATCAGTTGATATCCGATATCAGCAAGTATCATAAATTAGCATAGGGAGACTTAGCGATGATATTGAATATTAACACGTTGTTAGCAGGCGCATAATATTTGGAAGCTATTTGTACATCTTGTCAATAATGATAAATTAAAACTAGTTTATAATTAAGGATTTCGTTGTAATCGTTCAGAATAAAGTGCCGTTAGTCGAAAACGTCAGTTTGTGATATTTTCAACGATAAGATGGTTTCATGACATTCATAAAGAAATCATGATTCATACTCAGTGTTAAAGATACAGTTTGTGTAACAACGTTTTAAACAGCATTTCTTACCAAAGATTCTGTTCAGCGAGAGCGAATCCTGTATCTTCCTTCTCCAATTTTGAATGGCTGTATTCGCTTGTCCTAACTGCTTCTTTAGAGCATCTTCTGACTGGGCGGTTTTTGTCGCCTCTGCCTGCAAAACCATCAGCTTGGCACAGCTCTCATTATCTTTACGACACATTGACTCATTCTTGCCCTTCAGTTCTGAAATTTCTCGCATCAACGTACGTTTTTCTTCCTCGTGAGTGCTGCGCATGTTTTTATAGATCTAAACGAAATACACTTGAGAGAACAAATATTAGACGTATGCAATAACGATAAACGTAAGCTATCAGAAAAAATTAACAAACACTAATTATCGCTTAGGTAAATGGATAAACATGCATTCTGACAATGCTTTAAAATGTGGATGCCAGTTGCCTTTAGACTCATCATCTAAAATAGACCATATAGCATCATGGGACTTGACTGATCTGGCATCTCATATTTAGTGACATTCTGTCGTCATTAAACCAACTTTTCTAACCATTTTTAAAGCATCTGTAATAGACTTGCACTGCTGTCTTTCAGGTAAGACTCAATGAAAATATGACCAGAATTGTTTAACAGATTCTCCATCATGAATGAAGCAGCTTAACGTAGCCTCACTTGGCAGAGGTTAAATTTTCTTGATGCAAACGTTTCGATGTTGACCAAATGCTAGAGACTGTGACTGAGAGTAATGGCAAACATGCTGAGTCGGTAGATACACACTATCAAGTAAAACGAGTGTTTCCCAAACGCATAGTTTTACAGCATTCGACGTCGCAGGGTAACCAGCCGATTGACCACTGTATGTCTTTAGAAGTTCTGTCTAGCAGAAGGTTACTCAGACTATAAACCTAGACGGAAGGGTTGAAAGGCACCATATGTATTACATGTCGAAGTAATCAGACCTGTGCTTTTTGACTTGATGTTTACTCGTTCTTCCGAGGATAACGAATAACAGTGACGGAAGAACCGAACGAAAATGTAACGTCATTTGCCCCCTAATAATCTGGCGTAATAACATTTTTCAAACATGCGAAATGACGTCTTCATGCTTCAAAATCGAATATGAGGGTTGTTTCAGTTGAGTACTATTCAGTCCTTTCACGTGAATAGTGGCGGAACACACTGGATTCTCAGACTTCATAAACATAATAGGCAGTGGCAGAATTGGTTTTATCATTTAATGAAGTTACCAACAGATTTATTTTGTTACCGTGTATTTACGATGGATGTAAATACGGAACTTCGACATCGTCCTTTTGGAGGTGGTCTAGCAGCAGACGACCATATATGCAACAAAAGATGGCTTAGTCGAGCAGGAACATCAATTATGAAACAGTACAATGTCATGATCTTCAGAGGCAGCCGTAGCTAACCTACTTCCAATCAAGCGCCAGTGCTGATGACTGCCATCGGATGCTGCAACAACAGATATTTAAATCTAATAGGATTGTTGAGAATTCATGTCTGAACCCTACTACATACGCCCTGATTTGTTTGACACTGTGTTTAGTGTTTCATTAAAGAGTTGTCGACAAGTCTTCATTTGACAACATTTAAAAAGGTAGACAAATGAAATCATAACCAAGTTTATCAATTAATATTAACAGATTACAATTAAACAACATCTAATAATTAATATAACCTGTGCTTCAGATCGGAGTTGTCCAGAGGTCTCAGCAGATGAAAGCAATTTCTTCTGAAGATCAGCAGTCTGTTCCTTCAAAAGTGCAGCTTCGGCAACAGCTTTCACACACTGTTCATGGGAGCTGGCTAGCTGTGATTTGTAAACGTCACACTGTCGAGTACGCTCTTCCAACTCTCTCTTGATTGCTTCGATCTCCTTTGAAAAAAAGAATTTTTATCAATCGTTGAACTTTGAAAAACTAATTGGTCTAATGGTAGATGCTGATCTGCGTTTCCGGGTCTAAGGCAAAGGCTGGTCCTTAAAATAACCTTTGTTGCTTTACCAAAATTCCGGTTACAGAACAGGCATTCTTTAAAACAGGATTGTCTGTTTCATCGTGAGAAAGAGTATCATTAAGTAAACGAAATGGTAGAAGTACAAAATAAAATGTAGATAGTAAATATGTAAAATAAAGATAGTAAAGATGTAAAGATACTTTCTGTAGCCTTCAGACCCCGAATGCAATACTGTGGACATATCTCACAGAAAACCATGGTACACGGCAACATTTGACGAACAACTTTAAGATACTACCAAATACTGATTATCAACTTAAGGAAATGAACCGAAAAAACAAACTACTTAATAACTCACATGGCAGAAGACTTCCAGAAATGGAAAAAAGTTTTCATAGCAAAAACCAGGTTGATGCGCCTACGCGAATCAGCCATTCGAAACTATGTCTATGACTTTAAACATCAGTCTCTTAGCGTTGCGCTCAAGGCAGATCAATCGGAACATCATCCACAGACAGGAGAGCATGAGACAGACAGAGCATGATCTAAAATCTTGGAGAATATGTACATAATATATCCGGCATCTGGTATAATTCGACATATGGTATTATTTGGTCAACTAATTTCGAAATCAGCAATTTCTCATTAGTGACTACCTTTTTTAAGGCACAGTAGCGCGTCACCACGCGATCCATGGCTCCAAGTGCGGCCTTCATTGTGTTCACATTTTGATCCATGTTCTTGCAGTTGTTGCAAGGCGCATGAATATTCTGTGATTCCGCTTGCATTCCATCAGATTTTACATCCGCGACAACATTTGCAGAGAGGGCTGCGGCGGCAGCGACGCCGGGCAGCAACACTCTTTCGTCATCGGAAGGAGCTTCTTCCTCCATTTCAGATGCCAGGGCTGAACGTAAAACGTATATCTGAAAGAATTATGATGCAGTGATCAACAGTTAATTATTATTATTTAATACAGGAAGGAAAAAGTTTTGTAAATTTTACAATACGAGAAGCATATACAACGAAAGTACCATTTTTTTAGTTTCTGTGATGTCAAAGCAGACAAAGAAGGATAGAGTCTAGAAGCCATCGATCATAAAGTAAACTTACCTTAAGCGAATATTTAGTCGTCGATAAACTTTGGGTAGTTGTCGAATACACTTCCTGAATCAACTATATTTATAGATTGTACTTCAGAATCAAGTAACCATCGATCATATACTCACAGCGACTATGATGAAGAACCTGAAGAACTAATAGACCAACCATTGTAATGGTTCGAAAATTTGCTTAAACATCAGAAGTCGACAGAAAAATGTTTCTCCTATGGAAACCGATCGTAGTGTATAAAAGGAAAAAGAAAACAAGGAAAGTTCCATACTGTTGGAATGCCAGTCTTGCTTAACTTTTATGATTGGGTTGTGGTAAATTCCTTGCTCAATGGAATTCGTGATTAAAGACAAAGATAGCCCTCGAGCGTAATCCGGACCTTCAGAGTTCGAAGCAGACTTCTTAGACACTGCACCACTAGGTTCAAAAGAAAATGGGCGCCACTGTAAAGGCTGATAAAACATATTAGCAGCTGATCGAAACGGTTAATGCATAAAGTAAAGCGAGGGCATTATTAAGCTACCTTACTCAGCATACCGATGAAGAACAACGAACATCACGCTTACTGAATACGCCTAAATCAATACGCAGACACTAATAACTGTTAAATTTTGGCCGTGTGAATGTACTTAAGAAAAAGGAAAGCAAACAGGCTTGTTAGGCATGGAAGCAGGTATCGAGAGAGAGTGACTTATTTTAAACATGGTTTATAAACAACGCAATATACTGATATGCTGGATAGCAAACAGATACCAATGTTTCGGATTTTATTAGATCTTTTCAAACAGCGAGCCAATTTTCGATTTGAGCTAGGAGGATTTGCCTTCATCTTGGGATATCACTAGATGGTTAACCACAGCTTCTTATTGTAACTAAAAAGTCCGAAAACACTGTACTATATTAATCGATAAACTTTTTCCAAACCTAAATGATAGTTTAAAAAACTAAAATTCAATCCATCATCGAAACGGCCAAAAACCAAAGAACATAAAAGAAAAAAAGAAACTAAAGAAGTGTGTTCTATTCCCTAAACATAACTACCACACGGATAAAGTTTCTTTCCGGATTCGGATTCGGATTCCAGCTGGCTGCACAGAATCAAAATGGAATGCACATTTCCTCAAGGGAATACTAGCAGTTAATTGGAAACTTAACCTGGCATCTCTAAAATGCACAGCAAACGACAAGCTACTGTTCTACTGTCCGTTTTCAATGAGTGCGCCTCATATCGCTAACACACGAAACTTAAGCATATCTATGATCACTAAAAAAGAAGCAGGAGGAACATGTTAAGCCAAAGGCACACTGAACAACGTTTTAGACGGTAAACTACGATGGATTTATCAAGAGTTATGCAGCGCAAGAACGAATAAGTTACATCTCACATTAATTTGAACTTGTAAAGAAGTATAAGGATATACAAGGCAATAGGGTCAGGTGACATGAATGTTTTTTGTTGGAAATAATCCGGGGCTCAAGGGTATGCGGCTTTTGAACCATACCGGCAACCAATAGGCAACCTATTCGTTGTGCAAGTTCTTTGACTAATATTTCAAAATTCAAGCATTCTGCATCTGCTAGCAATAGAAAGGCTAAACGCGAAAATCAGCTCGGAGAAGGGAACCAATAAGTATACAAAGGAAGAATGCAGGCCAAGGAACAAAAATTTTTCTAAGAGAAATATAAGCATCGTCAGGTAAAAACCAAAAAGTTTTTGTAATAAATACAAATAAAGCAGGAATTCTGAAAAGTTAAAAGAGTTAAAGAATGCAAAAGCGATACACTATTCAGCATCGTCTAAAAAAATATCCCGTGCAATAACAAAGATAGTGAAACTGAAAACAACGGAAACTCACAAATGAATACAGCATTATACAATGAATACAGATTTTTAGGCCCTTTCCAGACGGAATGGGACGCCCAGCACCTGACATTTTGGAAAAAGATTAAAACTTACATGAGCAAAGAATTATCACTTCATTCACCAAGTTTCAGCATTAGTCCAAATACCCGAAGCATTAATAACGCAAAATTTCATTCGAACGTTTGGACTGTCTACTACAGAAAACTTTTATATACCTAAGTTTATTGCATAGAAACCATTACTCCATTTTGTTTAAATACACCATACAAGAAATTGACGATAACTGAATAAAAACATGGTCATTTATGACAGCTTAAGAAAATGCATCATTTCATGTTTATAGAAAATATCTGATTCAACAAAAAGTTTTGTTTCTAAATATTTACGTTATGGTCAAAAGATTTTGTATTTCTTCGTGTGAAGGATCCGTCATTCCCGTTTTAGCATAATTGAGAGACCCGGTGAATATCTCGAATAATGTATTAATTATTGTTTTAATTCCGACTCAGCTATTTTTTACCTATTCTGCCATATCTTCCGCATTAACTTTACTGACCCTTCACCTTAGTAATCAACCATCTGCCCTTAGTTTATATATGTCGTTTTGACTATGCTAAATAAAATGAGAATTCTTGTGACCCTCTTCAAGCAGTAAACTTTCAAGTCCGTTGCCGGAATACGTCCTAAAATCAAACAGTCAAAGAAGGAAAGTCATCTGGATACATTGCTTTGCCTCATTTAAGCACATCAGTTCTCAGTAGCATTTGAGCAATTGCTGTCCTAGGCCGCTAGGTGCATCACGCGCTATCGTGCCCGCTAGAGTCATATTGAGCTAATCACAAACGATGTTTTAGCAGCTGATAGTCCTCATATATTATCGTGTAAACGGTTTATGAGCAAACCAGCTTT